TTGTTCTTTTAAAATAGTGTTTGTCAGGTCCAGAAGAAACTTGGGACAAGTGGCTATTTGTGGTGTCTATAGGAGCATACCAAAGCACGTGCTGGCCTCCAGCCTCCCTCAGTATCACAGGTGCCTGTTACAGATCCGTGTTGGCTGTTCGCAGTCCTTCTTATCCCATTCCCTACCCTCAACTTCTCTGCCTTCTGGGCTTCTCTAGCCCCAGATTCTAATCCCCTTATACCCCTACTATTTCAGCTATGTGCCCTCTCGCCACCCCTCTTGGTCTCATGTGCCCACATGCTCTGTCTCTTCTCTCTCTCTCTGCACTCCCTCCCGCTGCTCTCATGACCGGATCCAGAGCTGCCCGGGCTCAGTCTACTACTTTCTCTCTCGGCTCTGGACTCCTCCAGATGCCTCTGGCTGGACTCTTCATCAATCACATCTGCAACAAAAATCTTCCACATAACCATCCCTTGGAGCAGGCACGGCTTCAGCTTATACACAGCTGATGAGCATTTGTTATACGGAGCCATGGGCCTCGTAATAGCATTTTTGTTCAAAGACATCATGGGTTCAGGGACTGGCCTTGCGTCATCAAGTTTGTGTGGCAAGTGCCTGTACCTGCTTAGACATCTCTCCAGCCCCCTGATAGCTATATTCTTAAAATAATAGTCATCCTGACAGTGTTCCCCATCCGATTTGACTCTGCCAATCACCACCAATGACCTAATCATGAGGGTACATTAACTTATAATGTATTGAAGGCACATTTATATAGGTACTATAGCACATCTATCAGGTACTAAAGGTACATTAATTTCTCATTGCCAGTTATTGCAGAAGATTCATGTATAGAAAGAAATGGAAGACTCTGAACAGTTGTCATTTCCCAGAAGCTAGAAACATTCTAGTTGTAAACTTCCAAAAACATTGTTTCCTGGAAAGAACAGAACATTAGAGATTTCAGACTTAGATTTTTCAATAGAGGTATGATTGGTTTTTATCCAGCTCCTATTCCAGTAGGAGTAAACAGAGATGCGTTAGCAATTTAATTAAAAAATATTGTGAGCTTGGGGCTGGAGAGATGGCTCAGCAGTTAAGAGCACATACTACCACCCTTGAAGAGGACCCAGGGTTGGATCCCAGCACCCACATGGTGACTGACATTTGTAACTCCAGCTTCAGGTGATCCTATATTGTCTTCTGGCCTCTGCAGGCCCCAGACATATACACAATGCACATGAATATATGTAAGCAAACATTCATACTCATAAAATGAAAATATATTATTTAAAATGTTTATGCAATGTTTATTGCTCCTTTTTTCACTATAGGAAAGAATCAGCCTCACTGTTCTTAGAGAGATGAATGAGTCATGAAAATTTGGTTTGTGCGTGTGTGTGTGCGTGTGTGCATGTGTGTGAGAGTACGTATGTGAGACTGTGTGTATGTGTGAGTGTGCATGAGTGTGTGTGTGAGTGTGTGTGCGTGCGTGTGTACAATGTAGTGCCATGCAACTCTAAAGAGTGTGAAGTTTGAAAATTTTCAGGAAAATTAATGGACTTAGAATGTATAATTAAGCCAGGTCACACAGTCTCAGAAAAAAATAAACTGTAATGCTCTCTTTCATATGCAGAATCTAGCTAAAATATATGTGTATATGTAAACAAATCTACAAATCTGCACAGTACGACATGGAAAAAGAGTACAAGGAAAGCAAATACAAGGAGAGAAGAGTGAACTCATGTAATGGACACACACAAACCAAAGCTAATTTTTTTTAAGTTCTGATGCTGTCAGAATCTTTTGGTTTTAGAGGCAGACAAGTATATAAACTTAATGTGAAGCATCACAGCTTCCAGATTGAATGCCTTTCTAGCTGTATAGAAGTTTATTGAGTTGTAAAGTTAGGGGTTTGGGTTAAGTTTGGTATGAGTATGTGGTGTTTTTATTTATTTACAAGTTTAAAATATATATTTATACACATAATATTTAATAATATATAAAAATATTTTATATACGAATATATAAATACATATAATATATTACAGTGAAAACTTTACATTAATATGATATCTCTAAACCATGAGCCTGCCATATAATATTAGAGAAGGCCAGCTGTTGTTTTTCTTGTTACTGGTGAGAAACAAGCATTGTAAGGAGGCTGTAGAATTTGCTGTGACCTCAAATGCCCTGTGCAGAGAGAACAAACTGGGAATGCCATCTAGAGCTCCAAACAAAGGTGTGACTGGGCAGGGGAGGCCTGGCTCCCAACACTGACCCCCACCACAGTGCAAGCGTGGAAGCAGCGCCCATTCTCTGTTGTTCTAGGAAAAAGCGAGGGGAAATTTAGACAAGATGTTTGCTGGTCTTCTGATTCCGTACTCCAGAGTCATCTGCTTTAAGGAGTACATACCTCCCGAAGGCAGAAAGCATTTATCTATCAAAAGCCACGATTTAAATCAGATATCCCCTTATCCTTGCACATAGCCATTACTGTTGTACTCTTTAAAACAACAACAACAACAACAAACAACAAAACAAAACTGAACACTGAGCCAGACGTGGTGGGACATGCTTATGATCCCAGCACTCTGGGGGCTGAGGAAGAAGGATCATGGGCTTAAGATCAGCTTAGACTATACAGCAAATTCCAGGAATGCGTGGGCTACAGCATCAATGAGACCCTGTGTCAAAAGGCTAGATAAAGAAATACATAAATAAACATCAAACTTAAAAATGTAGAGAAAGGAGAAAATGGTGTGAAAGTGTCTCCCTTTCTCCCATTTTTGAAAAAAATTTGAGATTATAAATGACAACAATTCTATCTTCCCTTCCCTCTCTCCATACATCCTTCCACATCCCTCCACTCTCTTTCTTTCAAGAGAGATGGTCTCTTTCTTCACTAATTGCTATTGCATGCATGTATGCATTATATATTACATATATTTTCCTAACTATAGCCATTTCAGCCCACTTAATGGTACTTATATGCATGCTTTCAGGGCTGACCATCTGGCAATGGACAATCAAATGTGTTCTTTCCTGGAGAAGACCATTTCTATCGCTCTTATCTTTCTTCTGTTGTCTGTAATTCTTTGTGTAGGGTTTAGACCTTGTGGGCTTTGCCCGATCCTCTTTGGCATGTCTATTGATGTCATCCTTGTTCAGCTCACGTTTGAGAAGTCGTGTTGGTAAGACCTTATGACTGCAACTTTAATACTACTAAGTGATACAACCTAACAGCAAACTCCTGATCCACGTCCTCTCTTCTGCAATATTCCCCCGAGCCTTAGGTGTGGGAGTGTTTCATAGATGTATCAATTGGGACTGGGCTCCACAACTCTGCATTTTGATTGGCTGTGGTTTTATGTACTGTTTTCAGTCTGTTACTAAGAGAAGTTTCCTTGATGAGGAGTATATCTGTGGGAGTAAGGACAAGTGTTTACAGATTGTTGTTAAGGATTAAAGGATTATGTTGGTTTGAATTCAGATGTTGTAGATTCTCCTCTAATCAGCATGAATTCACTAACCCTCAGTAGTTGGCTGGGTTTCCAGTAACAGACATGATTTCCCTCTTGTTGAGAGTGTCGTTACTCCAATTAGAGCCATTGGTTGCCACCAAGGTATTTGTGCCACTACACAACTTACAGTTATTATGCCTTGTTGGTTGTTGAAGTGGTTCATAGGTGTCAGAGCTGGGCAGGATTGTTGATGGCCTCCCTCCTTTGGGAGCTTGCATGGTACCTTCTATACAATAAAAGCTAGTCCTCAGGAGGGGATAGTCAAGTTAATTCCTCAGGGGTCTCTGCTAGCTGTTTCTGAAGTGCATGCTATCTTGAGCAATGGAGTCTTAACTTTCACCTCTAGAGGGTAACCAAGGGTAACAGCAATAGGAAATATGTTTTAGGAGTCTTTTAGACAGCCCTGGCTAACAATTCAAAAGAGGTATTGAGTACTATTGTTCTCATGACTGGTACTGAGTTTTCTATTAGATGGTCTTTGGCTTTCTAAGGAAGTGCAGGAAAGAGACAAAGAGACAGTCTTAAAGAAATACCCGTAGCAACAGTCTTTATCCAACTAGGGCCCGTCTTTCAAGTTTTCCCCAGATCCCAATAAACTCTTTGCTCTTTAATAGATCATTGGGTTAAACATCAATGCTTTATTTACCATATATATTCATCTTTGGAAATCCCTCCTATAGGTGGAGTCACACCTATAGATGAATTTTACCTCAATCAAGTCAAATTGGCAGTTAATACTATGTATCAAGGGCTAGAGAGATAGCTCCTTTGTTAAGTGCTTGTCTTGCAAGCATGAAGACCTAAGTTCAATCCCTATAACCTAACTGAAAACAATTGGGCATGGAGATTCTCTCTTGTAATCTAAACACTGGGGAAAGGTGGAGCCAGGCAGATTCCTGGGACTTGCAAACTTGTCAGGCCACTCTATTCCACAAGCTCTTGGCTTGTGAGAGAACTTGTCTTGTCAAAACCATTGATGGTGTTTGAGGAATCATGTCCAAAGTCACCTTATGGTATCTACATGTTTAATGCGCGAGAACACACACACACACACACACACACACACACACACACACACACACTACAGGCTGAGTGTTCCCAGTTCACAAAGCAAAGGACTGAGCAGAAAACATCAGTCAATCTGCCTAACATCCACAAAGTGTGTGTTGACAGGTTCCTTTCCTACGAGAATGGAGGGGCTAAGCCTAGAAGCCTGAGCTCTGGACTTGCAAGCCTTCTCATTAGAACATGTGGTGTCTCCATCATTCTCATTCACTACAGAATGCCTGAGGCAATGAGGAGTGACATCCACGCACTCAGTTGTGTGCCTATTCTGAAGGTCTTTGACATTTTCTTGGCCCTTAAAGATTAGTTTCCTTTTAAGTACAGGCTAAATACATGGAGAAGACCCAGGGCAAAAAAAAAAAAAAAAAAAAGAGAGAGAGAGAGAGATTTCATCTGAAAACAGTTTTGTGTTTTTCTAAGGAAGCACATGCCAGTGACACACAACCCAGTCTGAAGAGCTGGAGAGAAGACTCTCAACTCCTGCACCGAATCCTAAAGAATGGAGGAAGCGATTCAAGGAAGAGCTGCATAGAATAAAGACAGTCTAGATGGAAGTCACCAATTGAATAATTATACGGTCGGGAGAGTCGTGACTCGATAGTGTCATCTTCATTTCCAAGGTGGGTGAGTGTATCTCAGGCTCTGAGGCTGAGTTTTCAAGGTGGTTGTCTATTAATGCATTCAGTCTTTCAACAAACAGTTACCAAATGCCAGCAGGAAAAAAAAAAAAACCTAAAACAAAACAAGGCACAAGATTAACAAGGCTTGCTTTCTGTCCTCAGTGAACTCCAGTTAGCAAGTATTATTTATAAAGAGGCAGGTGCTGGGATAAAGGTTAGAACAAAATGTTACAGAAACAAGATGCTGGGAGAGAGTCTTTGTGACTAAGCAGATCAAGAAGTCTTCACAGTGAGAGTTTTTTTTTCCCCAACTATTAAATAGAACAGAAAAGGGCCATTTGTTCGTTTTGCCGAGATGCTTGAATTTGTCTGCACTTATTTTAGTTTGCCCTATTTATGAGATGTGTCAGTTGCTGGTATGCTTATAAATCAGGTGTTAATTAAGGAAGTGAAAACAGTGCTGGGAAGTGATGCAGACCTACTTTAGGATGACTTGGTAGGATTGAGCTCTCCGCCAAAGTCAAGTTATGCAAATAGAACTGATTGCTTTCCTAATAGCAAGAGAGCTGAGGGTTGCTATTTAAATACACTGCAAACAACCTGGCTGGCAATGCTAATTCACTTTATATTGCTAGGATGTTCGTTGTGTAACATGCATTTCTAGCTCTTTTTCAGAAATAATTTTTCCTCAACGCTTTTCTTCTTTGGGCATAAATTTAATATATTTGCTGTTGTTGTGCAGACTTAGTGGCTGCCTCTCTGTTTTCTTTTTATTCTTGCTTTTAGAAAAGATACTTCCATCAGATGTAATATGCAAAACTGCATTAATATGTTAAATGTTAATTTATTACTAACATGCTAATACATACATCACATTAATATGGACCAAAATGGAAGACTGATGTGGGATTTCCCTTCTGTATGCTGTGAATATGTTTTATTATCATTGGATAATAAAGAAGCTCCTTTGGCCTGTGACAGGACAGAATTGAGCTAGGTAGGAAAGCTAAACTGAAGGCAGGTAGAAAGAAGACAGAGTCAGGGAGACGCCATGTAGCTGCCAAAGGAGACAGAGGCCCTGAAACCTTACCAGTAAACCACGAGCCTATATAAAATAGAAATACCCTTAAGCTATTTGGTCAAACAGTATTGAAATGAATATAGACTCTGTGTGATTATTTTGGGTCTGAGCGGCTGGGAAACAAATAAGCAGTCTCTGTCTAAGGAAGACATGTTCAGCCGGTGTTGGCGCATGCCTTTAATCCTAGCACTCCGGCAGCAGAAGCAGGCAGATCTCTGTGAGTTCAAGACCAACCTCGTCTACAAGAGCTGGTTCCAGGACATGCTCCAAAGCTACAGAGAAACCCTGTCTTGAAAAACCTAAATAAATAAATAAATAAATGGACATTTTAATTTTTCATAAATAAGAAGGCTCCCTCATACTGTCTCCCAGTTTATATGCCCATCAAGACATTGCCATCCTGGTTTCTGTCATTGTCAACTATTAGTAGTTTGTTTAGTTTTAAACTTTACTTTGCTATTCCCAAACTAGCCTCAGTAAAAACAAGTAGCTTGACAAGGTGGTACATGCTTATCATCTCAGAGCTCAAGAAGCCAAGCCATGTGGATTATGAGTTCAAGGTTAGTGTAAACTGGATAATGTTTGAGGGGGAGTCTTGGCTATATAATGATACCAAATGTGTCAATGTATATCATAAGGTATCGACGATATAATGGTGCATAATATATCAATAAAAAATAGGAAAAAGAAAAATCAAGAAGAAAGATTGGTTGGTTCGGTGTATATGGAATTTCATGAAATTCAATGAAAGAGAATGCATTGTATGTGATATGGTTGAGAGACATAGTATGGTTATAACGTCATCATGCTCTTAGAGTCTATCCAGCTTCTGGGTCCTGGCATTCAAGGTGGGCTCCCCTCATGGTAGCACATGTTTATAATCTTAGCCCTGAGAAGGTGCTGGGTGAATCCCTGGGGCTTTCTGGCCATATAGCCTCGCCTGCTTGGTGACTTCCGAATCAAGGAGAGACCCTGCTTCAAATAAACATGAGCAGTGCCAAGGTTGTTCTCTGGTCTCCACATACACATACATACATGTGCACATGCATTCCATCCCACACATATGAATACACACACACACACACACACACAAAGAATGGATCTAAACCAGTCTTTCTTTGCTTTCCCTTTAGTACTTCTATAAGATCCCAGGAAACTACCAGAACCTACAAATGTTGAAATTTCTTATGTGAAATGGCAGAATGTTTGTGTATGATCTATATACATCTACACTTCAAATCACCTTTAGACAGGAAGGTATATGTGCATATAAATTTTTAAAAAGGCATATACCTGACTGATATTTAAAGATTTAGTAACAGGAAAAGTTTTGAAAATGGAAACTGTGGGTGTGGAGCTAAGCATGCTGGCCCAGACCTGAAATCTCAGCACTTGGAAGGCAGAAGAGTGCAAGATCAAAGCCAAACAAAGTAGACAATCCACAAACATTTCAGAACTCTACGACGACTGAAGTATTGTCAAATTGGTTTTTAACAATTTACATGCCCATTTTGAAAGACTGACAGGTTCACAGAGAACTATCCTGGTAAAATGGTTGCCTGGCATGCAAATGAAGCCTTAGGAGCCATGCCAAGCAACCCTGAAAGCTAAAGCTATCAATTAAACAAGCACAGAGATTCATTATCCAAACAAAAAAAATGTGCTTAGTATTTTCATGCGATAATTCCTGAGGTCAGCATATCGTTATACATGTATGCATATGAAGCACATCTCATATAATTCATCATATTAAAACCCAATTATTTAATATAAAAAATTAAGCTAGAAAAAAATATGAATATCTGGGCCTTGGATAGTAGCATACCTTCATTCAGTAATTCTCACAGTCAGATTAATATTTGTGTGAATTATTTATCTAATTGACAGTGCACTGTGATTCCACAGGAGAATTCTGTTTGGAAACATTATAATCACACATGGAGACACTAAAATATTCTATGCTCTAGTGGAGTCAATGCCATCAGAAATAGTTGGCACAGCACAGAAAACACAACTTGAGGATGGCCGCTCCATGCCCAGGAGAGATGGTTCACAATTTAAGAATCTGTTAGGTGTAAACCTTTCCCAACTTTTTTCCCCAAAGGAAAAATTTGATGTAAGAATATCAAGCTTCCTTATTTTTTTATTTTTTGGAATCCCTTATGAAAATTTCTATTGACCTGAGAATAACTGCAACGAAAGATTCTGAGTGCTGTGGTAGTGTGGGATAGAGAGCAATTGCTTGAAGTGGAAGGAGGCTGGTGTCTTTGGGGTGGACAAGGGCTTAGGGAGCTTGACACAGACATAAAAACTGTACGGAAAGGTGAGGGGATTTTATGTCTCTTCATCGCTCTTCCTCCACAAGAACAAAGATTCAGAAAATATAGTTCATCTTTGCTGTGGTTTCTCTTCCATACTGGTTAGCTTTCCTAATACTAGAAGGTGCTATGCGTGTGACCAGAAGAGAAAAGTAATCTCCAGTCTTATCCAATTTAAACCCCATGATCTCTAACAATTAGGAGCCTGATAAGACTTGCCCACTGACAGGATGGTTGCACAGATGGAGTTACTAATTACTAGTGGTTGAAGTTAAGGCGTCTTAAGATAAAACCGTACCTGGTACAGTTACTGGGACCAAGAACTTTTGGCTAAACAGGTCTTAGGCCCTAGGGGAGAAGCAACGACTATTACTCAGCTAAATGGACATTGAATTAAACTGCCTAATGACTTATAATTATAGCCATCGATAAGAGCACCATTCAATCCTCATCAGAGAAGCTTTTTGCAGTAGATGGAGATTCACATAGAAACTCACAGCTGATCACGGTGCGTAAAATAAGAGACCATGGAATGCTCAGCCTTAACAGGCCGTCTCTGTCACGTCCCCTCTGTCCAAAGCAGAAAGATCATGGCAGAAGAGGAAGTGGAAAGATGGTTAGAACTGTAAGTGGTGGGTGAAGACAAGGGAACAGTGTTCTCTGGATTTAGCGGGGCAATTGCACAAATGAACCCACAGCAGTTGAGACAGTATACATAAGACCTGCCTGGGGAGCGGAGGTGGGCATGAACTCCCTTCTCCAGCTAAGGAGACATTGGCAAACAATAGCTGCTTTAAGAGAAAGGGTGGATTTTCTTTAAAAGTATGGCCCCTCGTGGATAGATTCTCCTACAGTGGAGGCCACACATCCAAGAGAAAGTATATGGGTAATATAAACTATTCTTGACTTTTTTAAGAGGCCACAAAGTGGTTAGGGGAAGGGAGATGAACCTGGGAGGAATGGAGGGGGAGGGGTCAGCGTGATTAAAATGCATTGCACAGAATTCTCAATGAACTCATAAAAATGAGGAAAGAAACTTTTGGATTTGTTTAGAATTAGCCTTACCTATAAAATCGCCACTATAAAAGCAATAATTATTTTGAATACAGAAAAACTCCATTCCAGAATACAACCTTGGATTTGAATAAATATTTTGGATTATTTGAAAAGTCCTAACAAAACGTCGAGTGTCTCATCTCTCTATTGTTGGGACTGTTTACACTCTTGTTCCTCTGTACGGCTCATTCCGTTCTACTGAGAACAGAACTGAAGTGCGAACACCGGGGAGCATAGTAATGAGACATTCCTCACAATTAGCTGTCCCTGCGGGCGCGAGCGCAGTAATTCTCGTGGACTTGAAGCGGAGCCCAGGTGAACTGCTCCTCTGCAGTTCCAGCAGCTGCCGGCGTCTCCAAGAGCAACCAGATCTCCAGCATGGCTTGTTCCTACTGTACTTTCTGTGAAACTTTACAACTAATTATTGAACAGCATGCTCACCAGAGCAGTTTTGATGACTATTATAGATCTGTTTACACGGGAAAATGAAGAAGTTTGGAGAGAGCCGTCTGAGCCGAAGGCCTCATGCATTATTCAATAGACGA